TTCATCCTCGCTCACTGAACTTCTAGAGAAATTTCAATTAGGTTAATAAATTTTAATTTATCTCAATTAGGTCAATGAACTTCGTAATATTTCATATTTAACCACATCGTCACGTTTCGTCACCTATCATCATCTGAACTTACAAAAAATATTCAATTAAGAATCATACCATTATTGAGTTTACACAATTAACGTTATGTGAGACCTTATAAATTAGGGATGTAATGGTGCGGAATCAAGGATGAGGATCCATTGCCCCTTCCTGCTAGGTGGGGATGACGCTAGGAACCCTCAGTCCCAATTTATATCCACTTATTATTTTTCATTTTATTTTGTATTAAGCCCCTATTTGAGCCTCATTTTTGGATCAAAATGCATTTTGGAATAGTATTTTGTTGGATAATGTGTAATTAAAAATAAGCAAAAATTTTGGATTTACAAGTAAAATTATTTTATGGGAGAATGTATAGTTGAAAATGAGATTTGAAAAAAAAAAAGAAAAAAGGTTTTTAAAAAAAAGTGGGCCCCGGGGGTAAATGCCTAAATATTATATAATATTATTAAATAATTAAATAAACAATTATAAGTGAGAAACTAAAAACATAAAATATGATTACATCATTTATGCATCTGCATCCTTTAACGTGGATGATATTCCTGACGTGGGACAAAAATAATGCTCTTTAATAAATCTCACACTTCAATAATTTGAAAAGTGAATGTCATTTAGGATTTTACGCAAGGTATGCTTTAAAAGTAGTCCATAAAAGTGAATATTGGACTTTGGTAGATAATCTTTATATTAAATGGGTTAAGAAGTGAATTTGTATTTCTATCAATAATTCTCTGTAACTATGGAATCATTCTTTTAAAAAATTCTTCGAGACAAGGGTCCCATTCTCCGTCCCTACCAAGGCAGACTCTATAAAGTTGGGATCTCTCACTCTCATCGCCATCCCTACTATAAACACATTTTATGAAAGGAGAGTTATCACCATCTCTATAGATTAAAAATGATTAAAATTCATTTTTAATAGTTATATGACATGACATGGTAGTAAATTGCCATGTTTGCAATTACTGGGAAGATTATTGCACTGTAGCTGTCAAAGGAGAAGAATTCATTGTTTTTGTGAGAGAATTGAAGGGGACTTGCAAAAATTTTATCAAGTGAAGATTCAAACTTGGTATTGGACAAAGAAGAGAGAGCGCAAGTGGAGATTCATTAAAAAACCATTAAAGAGATTCAAAATTTCAAGATTTATCTTCATCTTCACAATTTATTAAAAATATGGGTTATGTCTTTCCACTTATATATGATTTCTTGTAATTTTAATATGTTAGGCTAATTTTACAAGTTTGCTAGGATGTGATGAACACTTGTTATGAATTTTTAATTTGAATAATTTAATTGAAGTTGATTTGTTTAATTGTTTGGATGTTTATTATCGTTTTCATGCTTTTTAATTAATTGGCTACTAGTTGAATTGTTTGTGGATTTTATTGTTATCGAGAGAGATAATAGGATCATTAGCACAAAATAATAAATATTGTGAGATTCGATAGAGGCTTGAGATATACCTCTATACTTCATATGATTTTTATAAGATATTCTAACTCGTTTAATGCATTTATCCTGTTCGTATATTTCATCGAGGGATAGGAAGGTTGCATGAGGGGAATATATTTGATAACTATCGAGAGAGGTTTTCAATTAAAATATGAACATTGACCAACAAGCATGATTTCAAATTGTCAATTTAAATTGTCGAACTAAACATGGATTAGTAAGGGGGATTCCACATTTTAGCAATACTTCTCGCGAATTGGATAAATTTTTACTTTGCTTTCAATTTAGTTGCCAAATTTAATATTATTCAGTCACAACTTGATTTTGCTATTCAATTAAAAGTATTATTAATTTTAACTGGATCAAATACATAGTTCTTGTGGAGTCGACACTCTAGACACTACTATATTATTTACTCACGATCTCGTTCACTTGCGGGTAATCAAACGATTAACGGTCTCCACGCTGCAGCTTAAATTCTACATGCTTCATTGATTGGTTTATGTAAGTTAAGCAATCACTTACCTTTTTTTTTTTTTGTGTGTGAATCCATCGAATCGAATTTTGAAAAATCAAATTTAGAGCACGGAGACCGTCTCTGCACAGATCGGAGAGACTCATCTCCCATCTCCGGCTTGTGCAAATATTGTGCACAGAGTTTTCTCCCGCCACATATATGCATACTCGCCCTGCATTCAAATCCAACTAAATTTAATTTTTCAAAAATTCGATTCAATGGATTCACCAAAAAAAAAAAAAAAAAAAAAGGACACTTAACTTACATAAACCAACAGATGAAGTCTGTAGAATTTAAGACTGCAATTCGATTTAATTTTTGGATTTGGAAAGAGAAGAAAGTTAAGGAAGATGAAGAAGAAGAGTATTACAGGAATAATAAATTGAGTGAAAAAATGGAGAAATAATAATACATGCCTCACGCTTGCAATAGGCCAACATCAACTAAAGAAAAAAAAAAGTACAGGACGACACATATTTACGACACGTGTCCAGGCAAATTTTCGCTCTTTTATATACGTTAGGATTGTTTAGCACTATACCTCTTTTCCCCCCTTTTTTTAACATGCAAGTATTCTCTTTTCCCCTTCTATAGAATATTTACTTCTTTTGCTCATGAATCAAGACCTTCCCTCTTTCTTTTTTTTTTTTTTTTTTTCAAAAATGTTTTAATTCAAATCTTTAAAATGTCAACAATATTAATCATTATAGTAAATAGAACATTGTTTAGTACAATTTTTTATTTTTTTAATCCATGTATATAGTTACCCACGAGCGCGATAAATAATAATTTCCTAACTTGTTTTATCAAATATACTTATTCCCGAATAACATAAAAATTTGCGAAACTCTTATTCTTGATTTGCCAAAATATACAATTCTCCATTTATGTCAATATTCAAACGGCATCATTTTGATTCATACTTTGAGTGGTATTTAGGGTATTCAACTTCTTCAAACAGACTCTTGAGGGTAAATTTCATCCTTGCTCACTGAACTTCTACAGAAGATTCGATTAGGTTAGTAAATTTTAATTTATCTCAATTAGGTCAATGAAGTTCGTAATATTTCAAATGTAATCACGTCGTGACATTTCGTCACTTGTCATCATCTAAACTTACAAAAAATATTCAATCAAGAACCATACCATTATCGAGTTTATGCAATTAACGCTATGTGAGACCTTATAAATTAGGGATTTAATGGCGCGGATTTGGGGACGAGGATCCATTCCCCCTCCCTGCTAGTTGGGGACAACGCTAGAAACCCTCAATCCCAATTTATCTCCACATATTATTTTTCATTATTTTTTTTATTTTTTGTACTAAGCCCCTATTTGTGCCCCCATTTTTGGGTCAAAATACATTTTGGAATAGTATTTTTGTTGGAGAATGTGTAATTAAAAAATAAGCAATTTTATTTATTTATTTGTGTAAAATTATTTTATGAGAGAATATGTAGTTGAAAATGAGTTTTGAAAAAAAGAGTTTTTTCAAAAAGTGGGGATCCCTTGGGTTAAATATTATGTACTATTATTAAATAATTAAATAAACAATTATTACTGAGAAACTAAAAACATAAAATATGATTACATCATTAATGCATCTGCATCCTTTAATGTGGATGATATTCTTTTGATGTGGGACAAAAATAATACTCTCTAATAAAGTCTCACACTTCAATAATTTGAAAAGTGAATCTCATATAGGATTTTAAACAAAGTATGCTTTAAAAGTAGTCAATAAAAATGAATATTGGACTTTGATACACAATCTTTATATTAAATGGGTAAAGGAGTGAATTTGTAATCTTTAATGTTTATACTCATTAATACAGATTTTTATTTTATTAATAAAAATAATTACTATTATATATATATAATTTTAAAAACAATTTTGCTATAAGTACAGAAAAAATTGAAAGAATTTTTATAGAGAAACACTTGGCCGATTTTCATTGATTTTTGACACAACAAACACAAAAATTACACCATATAGATGCTGTCATGTTGCCAACACAACACATGTATCATTTCTATCAATAATTCTCTGTAACTATGGAATTATTCTTTTAACAAATTCTTCGAGACAAGAGCCCCATTCCCCGTCCCTGCCAAGGCGGACTCTATTAAGCGGGGATTTCTTACTCTCATCGCCATCCCTACTATAAACACATTTTATGAAAGGAGAGTTATCACCATCTCTATAGATTAAAAATGATTAAAATTCATTTTTAACAGTTATATGACATGACATGGTAGTAAATTGCCATGTTTGCAATTACTTGAAAGATTATTGCAGTGCGGGTATCAATTAAACAATTTTTGACAATTTCGGAGATGGCATGTGACAAATTGGTGAAATTTGAAACTAAATCAAAGTTTATGGACCTAATTTGATACCAATAAATTAAAGTTTAATAACCTAATCGAGATTTTTCTGAAAGTTCAGTGACCGTATATGAAATTTATCCCATTGAAGGATCGACCTGTCAAATTAACCACCAACCGTAACCATAAAACACCCCCCATCTCGTCCCCCAGGGCACATCCGAATTGGTGGAACAATCACTTCGCTGGGACGCTGGAAGCAAGGGTGGAGAGTTCGATTCCTGGAGTTAACACTGGGAGCCATATGGAGAGGAAGCTATTGGTGTGAACAAACGCCCAGTGAGGAGAGCTCTCTTTGCGGAAAGAGTCCAAATGAGTTGTGGGAATCTGGGAGCCAACAAGGGCACATCCTGCGATTTACCTCCCTGAGCTGCTGAGGGCCCGGAGGTTCAGAGACAAGGATTTAGTCGGACGCAAGCCCGGACACCTTGTAAAAAAAAAAAAAAAAAAAAAAACAACACCCCCCATCTCTCTCTCTCTCTCTCTCTCTCTCTCTCTCTCTCTCTCTCTATGTATATACTCACACATAATTACATATAGATCTCGAGAAGATCAAGAGAAGATCTACAGAGGGAAAAATATTCGATGGGGGAGCCGACGTTGGACAATAATGCGCTGTCTCCTCCGCCACAGGCGCTTATTGAGAGGCTCAAGGATTACGGCCAAGAAGATGCCTTTGCCCTGTGGGACGAGCTCTCTCCAGAAGAACGAGACCTCCTCGTCAAGGATATCGAGGTCTATTAATTATATCACTCATTTGCTACTAAAATAGAAGCTATTTCGAGTTCATGTGTCGGTGATGTTTACTATGCAAAGTAAAAGTTCTGTTTTTTTGATGGATTTTTAAGCATGACTTTTGATAGAAGTTTATTTCTTCAATTCAGAATTAGAATTTGACAACTATTTGTCAGATTAATTTTTAATTTTTAGTATAACAATAATCTAATGCAGAGCTTAGATCTTTCGAGGATTGATCGGATCATTCGATGTTCATTAAGCTCACAAGGTCCGTCTCTTGCTGCATTTTACCTTTGCAAATAATACCCTTTGTTAACATAAATGTCCTTTCAACTTCTCAGGACTTATGGCAGCAGCTGTAGAGCCAGTTCCGGAAAGCAATGTGTCGACCGTGGAGGAGCGTTCAATGGAAGAAAGAGAGAGGTGGTGGAAGATGGGATTAAAGGCCATTTCTGATGGAAAGTTGGGTGTTCTTCTTTTATCTGGGGGACAGGTACTGTTCAAATTTTCTTGCCCAGAATTGAAGTTTTTAATAAAATAAAACATTTAGTGACATTCCTAAATATTGCAAAGAATATGGAGTAGTAGGCCTTGTTGGGATAGATTGATAAGACGTCCATTTTCAGAACACGTGCATTAGTCATAGAAGTCTTTATTTGTAGTGTAAAGGAACATATAAGTACGCTCTATGGTGCTTTATTTGGATTGAGTTTCTAGAGATGAGCATCTCTGATGGAGGTGTAAAATAGATGTCTTTAAAGTGACCGGAAACCTCTCCAGTGGAGAGATACAAAGGAAATGCAAATTGCATTTTCCGGCAAAAAAAGTAAAAAAGTTGTAAATTTAAATCTTTTTCTTTTCCTCATTCACAAAAGGCAAAAAGTGCATTTAGATCTTACCATTCGAGCAGAATTTGGATTTATATCCATTGGGGTGTCAATGAGGATTCAAAAGTGGTTTTCAAAATACCAATCTATACCCAATTTTACACCTACAATGTAATCTTAAGAAAGGCGTTCATTGTGGAGCCAGCAGTATCATATTCCAGAAATACGTGTTCTACCATGACTGTCAGTATGTTCTTCCCATTAATCTAGCCAGTGGCTGTGGCACATATATGAAATTTGACATGCTTTTCTGGGCCATGAAATTGCGCGATGCATCTAATAGCTATGAGATGCTTCTTCTGAACCCATACACGTAATACACATTTTTTTTTTCCGATTTTAGGACTACCAATGTACAAACTTATCATGGTAGTTTATTATGCACTTCAATATCTGTAGGGATGGAAGTCCGATAATCTTTGATTTCTGCACCTGTTAGTTAAATTTGTTAGGTTTTAAAATTCAGGAAACATAATGTTCGTTTACAAACATTCTGCTATTTGTTTTTCCCCATCAGTCCATGTCGTACTCCTGAATTTATTCAACTAATTTTCTGATTTAATGTATATCCCTTGAGTTTTGATTCCAGGGTACTCGCCTTGGAAGTTCAGATCCAAAAGGATGTTTCAGTAAGTAATGTTAAAGTTCACTTAGTATTAGATTAATGTACTGAGTTTAGAATCCAATGTTGTAACAGTTGTATTTGCCTTAGTGAGAATACCTTGCATATGTGTTCTGTGTACTTATATCAATTTCTTAACCCTCGCAAATTTATTGTGTTCAGTTATGTTAACTCTTTATTCTCATTACAGACATTGGACTTCCATCCAGTAAATCGCTTTTCCAACTTCAAGCGGAGAGAATTTTACGTGTCCAAAGTTTAGCATCTCAATCGGTCAATGAGGGTGAGTATTGACTTCTATATCCTGTGCCAACACAATTGGTTTGACTTGTTATCCTAATCAATCTGGTATATGCAGGTTCCACAAGGTTTACACCAATACATTGGTACATAATGACTAGCCCATTTACTGATGAGCCAACTCGCAAATTCTTTGAAAGTCATAAATATTTCGGCCTTGAAGCTGATCAAGTAAAAGTTAACTCTTTTCGTTCTTCAAATCATTGTTTATATTATCTCTCACTTTTCCTTTGGCTCATAGTTAAAAATCAATTTTGAAACAGGTCACGTTCTTCCAGCAGGGTACAATTCCTTGTGTATCAAAGGATGGTAGATTCATAATGGAGACTCCATACAGAGTAGGTTTCTTTCTCAGTTTCATAATCTAAGATGGTCTATCATGTGCATGTTCAGAGCTCCAAAAATTTAACGTTGATATATTAGTGCACACAGTAACTATATTTTATACAGAACTCGGATATTATTAAGAAAACTGAGAAGCTAATCAAGTCTTGAAGTCCAGTGATGTTGAAATCCAAGTATGTATCAAATGTTTACAATAATGGTGAGCAGTTATTTTTTTACCTCTAAGATTAGCACAGAGAACCTAAAATAGTTCAGCATCTTTTCTAGATTCATGCGATATCAGATAGAAATAGTTTTACTTGTTAAGTTGTGGAGGTTAATTATTGTCGATCCTAATTATTGCCATTTCGTTGAGTTGGTCAACGATCTAAAATTTCATTAAGGACTATTTAGAAATTTGTAGTCTTGTAAAATTCTATTAAGGAATTGAAGTCCTTGTAAAATTCAATTTTGCCCGAACTCAACTCATAACTAAGGAGTTGTCCTTAGGCTTTATTATTATATTCAGAAAGAGAGAAAGTGAGGCTAGAAAAGATAGGCGTGCGATTTTATCTTGTAAACTTTTTTATTTTTATTTTTATTATAGTGAATTATTGCGGTGGCAGTAGAGGATATATAGTCTCATATTGAGACGAACAACTATAAATCTTGCATGTTCTTGAACGTTTATTTTTCTTTCTTTGAATTGATTGCTCTCGGTGGAATAGAATTAGATTTTATAATTCTCAACTTTACTTCAGTTCGTATTTCAGTTTATAAAGTTGCCAACATATTATGTTTCTTAACTTTCCTTTATTTTTCTTCTTTACCTGTTATTTTTTTTATTGGAGTTACATTTTTATAAATATATTGAGAATCTAATTCGTAAAGCCAGGTAGCTAAATCTCCTGATGGAAATGGAGGAGTTTACTCAGGTATACTTAATCAACATCAAGAACTTGCATGTTGATTCTTGTCATTGTTGTATTGCTTTCACAGTTAGTATTAAGTGGTTTAATTGGTCCCAAAATCGGTTTCAGCTTTGAAATATTCGAAATTATTGGAAGATATGGCTATGAAAGGGATTAAATACTTGGATTGCTACGGAGTTGACAACGCTTTGGTAAGCTATTTCATCATTTTTTGTTCTCCTTCGTTTTTTGGAGATGTATTCTATTTAGAAACACACAGAATTGTTGTTTGGTAAACAGGTCCGTGTTGCAGATCCAACTTTCCTGGGTTATTTCATTGATAAAGGCGTGGATGCTGCAGCAAAAGTTGTCCGGAAGGTGAAGAAGTTTGTTATATATTTTATTCTTCTTTAATACTACACCTGGAATTTTGGAAAGCAGTCAAATTAGATTGCAATGCAGCGATTCTAGCTGTTTGGTTTTGATTATTCGCAAGTTACTTAATAGGCCCTTTTTTATTATTTATTTATTTATTTTATATTTGTAGTTCACAAAGAACATGAATTATGTTTCCTAGAAATAGTTCGCATTGCAATAGAGTTCCTGTTTGTTCATTAAGCAAGATTATCAACCCCTTGTCTTGATATGGCTATTGTTTTTTGTTATGATTATCGCATCTCAAAGATATAAACTTTAGAAAAAATGCTTTGGATCTTTAAGAAAATTACGATTTTCCATTGCAAAAGACATAGATTTGAGAATGTGTTATTTAAAACCTTGTCCTTTTAAGAATGAACTTAACATAAGATGAGCATAGGTACTCACTAGATCATTTCTATATATATATATATATATATATATGTTAAGCACCAGTGATTAACATTACATGTCTCCGATGCTTTTCATTAGATGAGCATTGGTGCTAATTAGATTATTTCTATTACATATTTGAAGCATCAAATGAAACTGTGAACTTAAATTGTTTTAACCTAAATACTTGAATTTTTGTTTTATTCAAGTAAATGCTGTTGCGTTGGACAACCTGCATTTATATCTTTGAAAAGTTGGACAACCTGCATTTATATCTTTGAAAAATGTGTCACGTTTTTCAGTTTTATTGAATCATGGATGATTGTTCATTAATCATTCTTGATCTACTGGATTGTAGGCGTACCCACAAGAGAACGTTGGTGTTTTTGTAAGGCGAGGGAAAGGTGGACCACTCTCTGTTGTTGAATACAGTGAATTGGACCCATCACTGGCCAGTGAAATAAACCAGGCAACTGGTCGCCTTCGCTTTTGTTGGAGTAATGTATTGTGCTTCCTCTCCTTCCTTATCCTTACAATCAATTTGAGTTGATCAGTATGTTCAGAGCCCAATTGCTTGCTGATGATTTCTTGTAATTTATGTGCCGACTTCAAATAATAAAATTAAGATATCCAAGTTTTTATAATCTTTTCATGTTCACCAGTTACCAAACAAAGAAACTATTATCAGTTCTTAAAGCATACTAACGGGATGCTATATGGAGATACCTTTTGATGTTTTAATACCTTAATAGATCTGAAGAGTTTGATCTTGGCTGAGGATGAATGCTGGCAGCATACTTAACACATGCAAGTTGGACAAGAAGTGGAGTTTCCAGTTGCGAAGCTTAGGTGGAAGGCGAAGAAGGCCTCCTTCTGGGGGTGGGGGGTGGGCGAGGAGCCATCTATGAGATATTACTCTGGAAGAGCTAGAATTCTAAAATAATTTCAATAAGCTACATAAGTCAATTATTTTTTGTATATTAAATGTTTTAATAACTACTTTCTACTGATTATATTTCCATATTTTCTCCATTTTTGTCCTATGCTTCTATTTTCAACATATCCTCTTAATTCATCTGTGCATAAGTGTTACTGAGTTTCATAATTTGTTGATAGTGAAATGCTACTGTTAACGTAATTTTGAATGTAGAGTTATCTGTTTCTAAATTTTTCTGGCTTTGGAATTTCAGGTTTGCCTGCATATGTTCACTTTGGATTTTCTGAACCAAGTAGCAAATGGTCTCGAGAAAGATAGCATGTCAGTAACACACGCTCTCTATGCGCATGCCTGCATGCATTTTTGAGATATAAATATTATGCTCTTCTACTGATACTTCAGTTTTGCATCTGATAATTTATTAGAACACAGATTTATAGTTCAGAATGGCAAATTTTGGATATTTGTCATCTGCCTTTGACTTCTATAATTGCTGATTGATTGATGAAAAATTTGAGTGCAGCTATCATCTAGCAGAAAAGAAAATTCCTTCAGTACATGGACATACAGTAGGATACAAACTCGAACAATTTATATTTGATGCATTTCCTTATGCACCATCTACTGCACTTTTTGAGGTAACATCTAGTATATTTCTACCGCTATAGAAAAAATATGTAAATATTTTATCGGAATTTGAACGTACTTCTCCTAATATATAGGTATTGCGTGAAGAAGAATTTGCACCAGTGAAAAATGCTAATGGGGCAAAGTTTGATACGCCAGAAAGTGCTCGCCTGCTTGTTCTTCGTCTCCATGCTCGTTGGGTGGTTGCTGCTGGTGGCTTCTTGACACATACAGTGCCCCTATATGCAACAGGTAATTTAGCCCTTGTTTGGAATAGTGGTTTTTTAAAGAATATGTGGTCAAAAAAAGGAGAGAAAAATGCATTTTGCATAAAATGGAGCCGAAATCAGGGCTTCCTGTTTACATACAATGCATGGCTCAGTAATCGTGTGAAGGCAATAACTTCATGCAAATAATACAAGTTGTCATGGCATCTTCACATATAGAGTCTGTTTGGGAGTGATTTTGAGAATTGATTTTTTTAGCGTTAGAGAAAAGTGAAGTTCACCTGTGAGAGAAAAGGTCAAATATGAAGACTGAAATAGTGAAATAACGATTAAAAAATCAATTTTTTGAGGGAAAAAATCACTCTCAAACAGGCTCATAACCAACCGGCACGGCCTGGTCCCTGTTGAAGGACAGGCCCTTGATGGTTCGTGGGCCAGGCCTAAACCAGCCCAAAAATGTGTCGCCCGGACTGATCCATTGAAATAATTCTTTATTTAATGGCTGTCAGCCTTCTTTGTCGATGGACAAGATGTCAATCAGCCTTTTAATATTCAAATTCAATGTTTCTTTTATCATTTTATAATATTAATCCGATGGTTAACTATCATGTCCGATCATTTAAACCCAAGTGGACCATTCCACTGTCCACTTTTATTGAGCGGTCATGGCCCGTCCAGTTTGACACCACTAATCCCACCCAGACCCCCTTAACCTCCTCCCTGCATGGAGTAGGGAGGAACAAGCGTCCTTTTCTTAGCATATTAGTATATGTAATTTGAAGTCTTGTTTTCTTATTCAATGGTGTTTTTGGCTTGTTGAATCAGGTGTGGAAGTTTCACCACTTTGTTCATATACGGGGGAAAATCTAGAGGCCATTTGTCGTGGAAGAACATTTCATGCACCCTGTGAAATCTCATTTTAGTTATATTTCATTAACAGATTATGAACAAGATTTAAGCCTGCTTCTTTTACTCGACAGGCTCGTCACACAAACGTGGCCCATGTTGGCCCTGATATAGCATCGCGATTTTTCTTCTGGTGAATGGGAAAGAAAATTTGGTTTTTTCTGATCTTCATGATAAGATGTCAAAACCTGTTCTTTGTTTCCTTAGCTAATGATCTCCATTTCACTTTCATTATAAAATATGCTACAAATTGGGAGAATCCACAAATTTTATACAGCTATCATGTTACATGTACATAATGGTTTATATAAAGGTTTACATACATCTGATGTGATGAGAAATTCTTCCAATCTCCTTTTGACTTATTATCTGTATGTAAATTATTATGTAACTTCATTAAATACAATTAGTATTATTCTTTACTCATTTCGCCAAGAAAATAAGTTGGAGAACTAAAGCTATTGTCTCCTCGCCACGTTGACAAAATTGGGTGTCAAAGAAACAGGTACCAGAATATCTGAAAATCTGCACAGGAACAGTAGGTTTCCAATTGAATATCAACTACAACTCCGCTACAGTGCTTTTGACCAGCATTATACAAATATGAACCCACAGAGGAATATTAAGATGATAAATATTCTTCATTCCCCCAATTTTTGTTCAGAAATATGGTGAAACTCCAAGAACTGGTTCCATGCTAGCCAATTGATGTTGCAGAAATTTGTAGACTGATTCAGTTGTCATGGATGCTATTCGAACGACTACGCCTATCCCCTGCACATGATGAATAGTCATTAGAACCCAACTCAGCAATTAAGAATACTTCTTAATTGTAAAAAATAGGAATGGATATTCACTTGGACTATAGGACCTGCAATAATGGGAAGTCTCGCAAAAGAAATCCAAGAAACCTAAAAAGCTGACTTCGAAGAACTTAAATGAATTTTCTTGAAAAATGTTATTTCAGCAATTAAGAATACTATGATATATGTTGTCTCAATATATCATAGTATACTGACATCAATGTGCCTAGTTATTATTACAAGTCTTAATGGAAAGATTAAACAAAGAACAGCACAACCAGAGAACTATCAATGGACCAAATTAAGGAAAAATCAGGATATATGAGGCAATTCTAGTGATGTGTGTATGTATTGAATCTGAGTTACTGCACTTAAAAGGTCAAACGGTACTGCCGAACTGCATCTTGGAAAACATCACTCGAGTGACATGGCTCTATAAGTGAGGTAGGATCTTTGGGAGCAGGACCTTGTGAAATGAGCTAACCAGCGCGATGGAGCCATTGCCTATACTCGTTAGGTAATGAAAATATAATTTTAGACCTAAGACTCTACTTAAAATATAAAGAACGAAAAGAACATTTTCTCCAAATGACTAAATACAAATGTGAAACCAAGCAAAACTTCCTTAAGTTGCTCTTTTAACACACAATGCATTAATAAGCTCATAGAAAACATGTTCAGCACATAAAGATATACTACAATTGCATACTAATAATTTGTTACAAGGTTACAATACAACTAAGATGTGACAGAGAGATATGCACCTTCGGGCCAAAAACGCTGCAAGAAGCAATAAAATTTGGTTTGGACAAGCAATGATCACTATGTGCTTTTGCAAAATGCCCTGAGTTAATCGAAGGAATGCGGAATTGCTCAGACATCATTTTCTTCACATCTTCCTGGATTTGATTTTGAATAAGCTTCAACTTAGGCCTAGAACCATGTAATTTATTACAAGATTATACAGAATCCAAGTCAGTCTCCTTTTCTTTTGAGTCAGTGTCATTCTTAATGATCAAAGAAATTACGAAAATTGAAATAACATTCAGCTGTAGTCCAAGGTGAGGAGTTAAAGTACAGGATGATAAAATAATCACTTACCCCCAAAGTACTATCATGGCAATTACTTGATAATCCTGCAGGCGCTCAGAGATACTGCCTTGACTTCCTTCCTCCAGCAATATCTGAGTCAAAATTAGAATCACTTGAGAAAATAACACTAGAATTATAACCAGATGCACGACACTCAAACTAAATTTCTTAATATTCAGATTTTAAACTTCAATTACACCCATCTTTATCTGCATCCAGAAAACTGTTCAGAGAGTAAACCATAAGTGAATATAGAAAGAAGAAGGAAAAGGTGTTTACAGAAACTGACTGATGCAAACTGAAAAGAACCAGATAAAATTGAAATCATTTAGATCAGTAATATATTGTAAATCAAAGGATTTATTGAGGAAAACATGCATATGATTATGTTGAGGTATTGTTAAGAAACTTGAACTCTTAAGAACACATACTTTTAAGTCATAGCTATGGTGTAAATCATACTCTTAATATAATAACATATGTCAAGTCTAATCTTTTCATGCTTTCCAAACCTCAATATGGGTAATAACACATTTATTTGTGATTCCCGAAATTTAACACAAGATTAATAACATACAATGAATGATATATGAAGGCCCAAACAGGAAAGTACCGTGTCAAGAAATAAAGGCTCATTGCCTTCTAAGAAGATGCGATTAGTGCTCTTATATAAAGAAAAATCCCATTTTTCTCCTCTCTCATGACGACCACTAGTTATCCAATCAACAATAAGTAAGCTTGACTCATGGAAAACTTTGAAGATTTGCATTTGAGAATACTTTGCCGTAGAAAAGCAAGTCACTGGATCTGGAATGATGACTAAAAGTGCATCGCGTCCAACTGTAGCCTACTGCATGGCAAAGGCTCGCCACCATCAATATAATTGTAAATGAATGAAAAATGACAATATAGAAAATTAAAAGATTATCACTTAGAAGCTCATCGATCTTAAAACCAAACCGCTAGGACCAGTAGATAAAACTCTTGAATTCATTTGTAAGTAAAATCTGGTTTAGACTCGTCAGCATGTCTATGTGATCATAATTGATGCAGAAAATTCAAAATGACACATTATCTAAAATTTAAATAAAAAAAAAAATACATGAATTTCCCCGAAAAATTCACTCTCAGTAACCTGCTGCGCTAATTTAACCACACGTTCTAATAGAGCTATAAGTGCAACCTACTTATCCACCATTCATTGTTTCCTATTCAAGATACTAACACGCATATTACAAATATTAATCTCAGAACTATGAAAGCAGTCATTTACCTCCAATATTTGTTCAGAACACTTGGATCCTACAGATTTGTAAACCTACATATTCAAGCAATAAAAATTTCAGTTACCCAAATACTCTCACATGAACATATATCTCTAAATTAAATTACAACCCGTGAATCAAATGCCACAAAATAGTTGACCTTGGTAGAAGATTGGGTGGTCAAAACTGCAGTGCAACTTTCTCCAACTGAAATATAACATGATATGGAGTCACCCTACATTCAAGAGAAACAATGCATGAAACATTGAGAATTTGAATCCCTGAGAGAGAAGATACAGTTACATAGAGAGAGGAAGAGAGGGAGATTACATACAGAGACAATGCCTCCGCCATAGGTGATTGTGTAAATCCAAACAGCATCAGTCTGGGAGGAACCCACCTGGAAATGAAAGCCACCATGAAATCAGAACTCAAGACAGACGAACAATGACCCAAGTAAATTCCAATAATGGATCAGAATTTGGAAATTTACCTTGTTGGGAATGATTATTTTGAGGGGGTACTTTGAAAAGCAGCGTATCACCGTTGACTTCCCTCCTATTTTCTCTACCACCACCTTCCCTGTTTCCATCTTCCTTCGTGGAAAGGCGGCGGTGATGTACGGTGCCGGCAGCCGGTGATATAGGATATGTTTGGTACTATTGTTTAATTTTCTTCAAATTTCACCTAAAGTACCCAGTTGCTCTTGGACATTTACGTTCTCAACTTATCATTTATGACACTTGGGTCTTCCAACTTTTAAACATGGTTCCTACCAAACAAAAAAATATTTGTTTGACAGTTAAAAAGAGAGTATAAAAAACAAGAAACACCACACCCCACCAAATCTTGACCATCCTCTCAAATCCATGTTAGAAAAGATATAAAATCAAATTAGAAATACTATTGGAGTTATATAAATAGGGAAAATAAGATAGAGAGAATATGGTTGTTAATGTAGCGACAGTATTAAAAGGAATCGATGCCTGTGTTTCATATAGTTTCCTTAAAATAGATTCGTCCCCCATTTTAGTGTAAGAGCGTCACTTGTCTCTTAGGATACAACAGTTGAAAGTAGTTGATTAGCACCTTATCACTACTTTAGGCAAATTGAGAATGCTTACACTTCTATCACCAAATTAGAATTAAAATTATCTAAGCTACTAAGAATAATACTCTTGAAAGCAAAGAGTTAAGAAATAAATTTAGAGAGAAGAGAGCTTTCAAATTTTGGTGTGTGGAAAAAGGAAAAGAACACCTTATTATATAGTATTAGGCTGAGAAGGGATTTCAAATCCTTGGCTAATTTTTCCAATTGAATTGGTGGTTATTGAAACCAATGAATTACAATTTCATTCAATTTTCTCCAACAATTCTTCACATAAATAAAATTAACAATAATGACTGGCATATATGGTGATAGAATTCAATAGTCGAAACCTGCATAGAATATGTAGGTGTTATCCTTTAAACTTTTCACTGTGTAAGTATGTTCACTTTACTAGCTAATTAATAGACTTCACGTCCTTGAACTATTCAGCTATTTCTGTAAACAATGACACGCTCCATACACGCTTCTTCCGGACACAATCCAAATCTCATAGTTGTGTTCATTTTTCCCATGAACATCCCCTTAGTTCTGTGAGAGTTTCTAAGAAATTAAGCCCTTGTAATTCTCTCTTAAAGCGGCCCACTTCTTTTTTACATAGGTGATCTCTTAGTTAAAAGCAACCTTGCATTACTCCGTTTGGATATTCCGACATATAATGATCATTAAAAGTTTAATCTTATCCTTTATTCCTCAAGGTAACACTATTTTCATCATGGAAATGCACTGGGATGAATTCCCACATTGATTAGCATGATCTTTACAATTAGGTTGTCCCTTTGATCCTAGATCTTTAAATCTCTAGTCAACTAGGTTGCCACTGTGTCGATCTATTTTCCCATGGGTTTTAGTCACAGTCCCCTCGACAATTTCTTAACTAATTCTCTATTTAACCATTTTGGTTACCGGATCCATAATATTGTTCTTTAACCTTACATACTCAATGGAGATGATTCCAGTAGAGATTAGTTGTCTAATGATATTATGTCTTCAACGAATATGTCTTGACTTATCATTACATATGTTGCTCTGTGCCTTGCTAATTGCAGTTTGACTATCATAACATATGCATATTGTAGGTACAAGCTTTAACAACCTTGAAATGTCCTCTAAAAATGGTGTAGCCATTATGCTTCTTCTGTACATTTATATAGTACGATCAATTCAGAATCCATTGTGGATTTTGCTATAACAGTCTATTTCGAGGATTTTCAAGATATAGCTTCACCTCCCAGTGTGGACACATATCAACTAGTAGACTTTAATCTTTTATGTCAGATACCCAAATTTGCATCATTGTATCTTTCTAGGACAGCTGCATATTTTGTATGGTGTCGTCCATATTTATGAGTTTGTCATAAGTACCTCAGTAATCGCACAATTGCCTGTCAATGATCAGTTCCAGAATTACTCGTATATCTACTTAGTTTACTTGCTTACTATATAGGTTATGTTAGGTCAAGTACTCTCTTTTATATTTAGATAGATGTCCACTTTATGTCTATTGGTGTTATGGGAACACAATGTCATCTTTATAAAAAAATTTAAGAATATTTTCAACATAATGTAACTGATATAAGATAAGCTCAAATAAGTTGTAGAGATCTTTATTCATAAGATAACATCTATCAGTCTCATATCTTTCATGTCAAATCTTGAATTTAACGTATCTTTAGTAAATTTGATCATCATATCATTGCTACCTACAATAAGCATGTCATCACTATATAGACACAATAATATATCCATTCTCATTGTCTTTGAGATAATGCATTCGTTGATTTTAAATCCACTTTCCATCATATATCACTATCAAATTTTTCATACCATTATTTTGGTACTTGTTTTAAATCATACAGATATTTCAAGAGTTTACTGACTTTCTTTTCTTGTCTAAATGCAGTAAAACTCATAGGTTGTTCCATATAATTTTTTCATCCAAATCTCTATTCACAAAGCCTGTTTTCACTTCCATTTGATATACTTTAAGATGTGCATGGCAACAATTTCTAGTACCATTGTTATGGAATTTATTCTCGTCATAGGAGAATAGATATCAAAATAGTCTAGACATTCTTTTTGTCTATAACTTTTAATTACTAGTCTCCCCTTATATTTATTAATTGATCCATCTGCTCTCATCATCTTAAGAATCCACCTAGATCTTAAAAGTTTACACTCGGGGAGAAGATCCACTAGCTTCCAAGTGTGATTTTATAGTATGGGATTTCATTTTTAATGGCCTCTTTTCATAAAGGTCATTCAATAGAGCTTATTGCCTCTTTAAAAGTTTGACGTTCATTTTAAAGTGGATAGGTCAAAAAATCTAGACATAAAAGATTTTTCCATCCTTGCTCTTTTACTACATCTGGGTTCGTTTTGAATCTCTTCATTTCCTTTGTGTTCTTGATCCTAACTATTTTCATTAATAGTCTCAAATGTTCGTTTTGACAAACTTGTTTTGACAAACTTGATCCTTCTTTAGACTTACAAGAAAATACATGTGTAAAAAATAATGCATTTCTTAATTCCATTATCATGTCCTTATGTATGTCTGAAATTTTGGGCTCATGCTTAAGGAACCTATATGCACTTCTATTATATGCATAGCTGATGAAAATATAGCCAACTAGTTTTAGACTAGTTTTCACCTTCTTTAGTGTGGGTACAACCGCTTTAGCAAGACATCCACACGTTCATAAGATCTATAGAAAGACTTCATTCCTTTCCATAATTCATAAGGAGTCTTATCTTTCATTTGTTAACAAAATAGCTTCTCTCTATATACTTTGAGGCAATCCCGAACTTAATAACATTGCTTTTATTATCTTTTTCAATGTACGATTCTTCTGCTCAGAAACATTATTTAAGTGAAGGGATTAAGGTGTCTAAGTTGCAAGGACTATAACAGTTTGAGCACAAAACTCTCCAAATGGTGATTCATACTCACCACCTCGGTTACTTCTTAGCTCCTTAATTTTCTTGTTGATTTGATTCTCAACTTCATTTTTATAGCGAACAAATTTCTCTATAGCTTCATCTTTGCTTTTAAATAGATACACATAACAATATTTTGTACTATCATCAACAAAAGTAACCTTCTCTTATTTGTATCAATTTTAAATTACATATATCACTGTAAATTAAATCAAGGGGTTCAGTGTTTTTTAATATTTTTAAAAGATGACCTTGTCAACTTTGCCTCTACACAAGTTTTACACTCGTGTTTTGAATCAATTCGGAATGTAGGTATGTGATTCAAGTTAATTAACATTCTCAAGGTATCATATTTAATATGTCTTAATCTACCATACCATATATTAGACGATTCAAGCAAATAAGTAGAAGAAATAGGATAAAACAATTTTGTAAAAACCATGCTTGCTAAATAGCGAACCAGAGACTAGGTTCTTCCAAATTTTCAGCACATATAGGACGTTATTTAGAGTCAACTCTTTCCTAGAGTTCATTTTCAGGATCACCGGCCTTTGGCCTTAATCTCAAAAGTAGCAAAAGTTTTCATGAAGAGCTTTCTCCTTATTCAATTTCATCAATTAAAATGAACAATCCTTTATTAGAGCATACATATCAGGTTGCACCAATGTCAATCCGCCATTTTATTGAGTTGGAGTCGTCTAGATTCACTTCAGATATCACAATTGATAAGCTAATATTAGAAGCACCAGGGACAATGTCATCAACCATATTTACTTATTTATTTACGCTTTTCTTAGGCAGCCTATAGTCATTTGATTGTGATTCGTTGCAATTGAAGCACTTCCCTTATTTTCTTCTTCTTCTTCTTCGAGATTCAATCTTTAGGTCCCAGCTTATGCTTCTTCTTTGCCTTGTAGCTTTGACCGTTCTCCACAACGTTGGCCTTGACCTCATGTTGGTATACCACTCGCTTATCACATCCTTTGTTGTCTTCCTCAATGCGAAGTCCAACGATCAAAATTTCAACATTCATCTCATTTTGTTTATGCTTAAGATAGTCTTTCTATCCATAGGGCAGCTTCTCAATAATAGCAGCCATTTGAAAAGATTCACTCAGTAGCATCCCCTCAGCATAGATCTCATGTAAGATCACTAAGAGCTCTTGAAATTGACTAATTACAGTTTTGAAGTTGACCATCTTAAAATTTAGGAAGCGGCCTACCACAAATTTCTTAGGGCTAGCATCCTTAATTTGGTACTTCCAATCAAAAGACTCCCAAAGCTCCTTTGCCGACTTCTTTGCAATATATACATTGTATAAAGAATCAGTGAGCCCATTCATGACATAATTTTGACACAATTATTCAGAATTCTATTGAGCATCTATTGCAATGATGACTTGGCTATCAGTCTCATCCCACTTCAACTTTGGAGGATCCTTGCTCAAGAACTTTGCAAGGCCAAGGGTGGTCAAATAAAATAACATCTTTTGCTGTCACCTCTTCAAATTCAATCCATAGAACTTCTTCAATTTCTCTCCATGAGTAATAGATGGTGGTATCATTGGAAATTTATAACAAGACTAGGTCCACAGACCACAGTATTGGTCGTATCAATAACAACAATTTTACTTGCCATTTTTTTCTGAAATACCAAATAAAATG